GGAGAAAGCTGAGCTAGAGTAACAGCTGTTGTTTTTTCCTCCTTGGAACTCTTGCAAACTGACTTGCCCTTTATGGCAAGATGAGTGTTGCTCCCTCACTGCCCATTACAAATTTGGCTCTACCCCACCTCCTTCTCAGTGTTAATCACTGACCTCATACATACAGATTCATCATGTTTGGTCTTTCCAGAGCGTTTGATGTTGTTGACTATTACTTCCTCCTTGAATCTCTCTTGTTCCTTGATTTCCAGTATACCGGATCCCTTGTTGCTCCTTTTAATTCACCCTCCACCTCACACCCTCTAAACTCCCCATTCTGGCATGTCTTCTGTCTATTCTGTATATAACACTTGTGTAGCATGGCCCCCGGGGTGCTCAACTCATTCTTTCCATCACTGTCTCAAAAAGATATCCCCTGGCCTTCTAATCTAGCCATGTTTTCAGAGCTGTGGATCCATATCTTGCCCCCACTGGCTAAATTTATTGACCCTGATCTCTGACACGTTAAATTCATCATACCCAGAGTCTGCTTCTTGTATTTCCTTTAGAATCCAACACCTCACTCAACCTAACTATCTTCAGAGCAATGAATCTCAATTGGAAGGGGGTAGGGTGGGGATTATGGGTCCCATTGAAAATACATACTGCTATTAATGAGTACATTTTAGATATAATCCCCCTACTCTCAGATGGTCTTGGACTCAAAACCTCTCTCTGAAAATGTCTCTAAGGTCCATGTCAGTTTTTCCCCCCTCAGTTCTTGCCTGCATAGATAGAAGACTTTTTTTAATTGATCTGTCCTCAATTAAAGGACAGATTGCTCTTCCTTCAATCTGTAATCATCCTACCAGTACTGGTAAATTGATTTTCCTAAAGCACCAGCAAAGAGCGTGTAGTTCTTCTCTTCCGAAACCTTCCGTGTCTTGTAAAGAAGTCCACATAGTACAGCACGACACCAGAGCGCTCTTCTGTAGGATCCTGTGCTCCATCCCTAGGCTCATCTTCTACGTTCACCTGCTGCAGCCTCTGGCCCCCATGGCCCCTTGTGCTCCGACCATAGCACTGTCCCCACCCCTAGCTGAGCCTTCCTCCAAACTGCTTGGGGTGTAGAGATGTTCCTTTTTGAATGCTATTTTCTCCTCCAAGATCCTGGTCACGGTGTCATCTCATCCAAGCCCTTCCTCAGTTTCACCATTTGGAATTAGCTACCTTTTCCTCTCCATTTTTACGGTGAATTAATCATGTCTCTCATATGGCTTCCACATCCGGCTTCATTGTGGGTTGTGTGCCTGACTGTTGTGTGCTTCCAGAAAGGTAAAGGACCCTGCACTGAAGTATACAATGAAGGAATGATGGACCCAGTGAATCAGTGAACCCACTCTTTGGGATTTTACTTCTCTCAAAAATTCTCAAGTGCCACAGGTGCTAGTGGGACTGAACCACTCAAACCCCTAAAGTTGCGGAAGCATTTGTGTTGAGACCTCCCCCGTCCTCTTCAGGAGCCACCTCGTTACCATCCTCACCGCTAGGGTGTGATATTTAGCTTGTCCTGATGGTGTAGCAGAGCCATGGAGGCGTTGTGCCTGAGCCGCCTGCCTGGATCTTGGCCACAGTTCTGCCTCTGCTTGCTGGCAGGTCATGCGCACCATGGGCAAGGTGTCTTCTTGCTTTGTGTCTCAAATTTTTTTTATCTCATTCTCAACAGAAAACCCTATGGTATCTACCTCATAGGGTTGAAGTGGGAAAGTGATAATCCTTACAAAGCACATAGCATAGCACCTGGCACATAGCAAGCATTCAGTAATGACTGCAGACTGTCTGTGTAAGGTCCTGGGAAGTTCTTGATCACTTCTAGGTCAGGGCTAATTACCTGGCAGTATCTGGGCTAGTTATGGCCCACACATGAATGTATTGTTTTTGCGGGGTCAAGGAGTGTGGAGGTGGCTGCGGAAGTTTTGAAAAGAGCAGGAAATGTAGGAGACTGGGTTTGTCATTTCTCTTGAGAACATTAGACTATCTGAGATGGTAAATATAGTGGGTAAGAATATAGGCTCAGAAGCAAGAGTGAATTACAGTCCTAGTCCTGTTCCGTATAAGCTGCGTGACCCCCATGCGAGTTGCTTAACTTCTCTGTTTCTCAACTTCTCTATTTTTAAAACGAAGATAACTATCGCACTTTATAGACCTGCTGGGATTATTAAATGGGACAGTCTAATGATACCTCTTGCTTCGTACATAATAAATAGTACTGTGTGCTGCTTTTGTTGCCACTGATGTCCATACTTCTGCTCTTGCTACACTGGGCCGGCAACACTGGGCTTCCAGTCCCTCCTGTGACAACAGTTGCCACTGAGTAGTAGAGGCCCCCATAAGTTGAGCACGACTTTTTAGGTAGCCACATCCTCCCCCATTACCTGTAGCCTTATATCTGCTCTCTTAATGACAATTTTGTCGATGTCTTGTTGATAGATGCCACTCCTGTGTGTTCGTGTCCAAGAGAGCTGTGCTGTGAATCAGTGTTTACGGCAACATGAACCTCAAGGAACATTTAGCACCATAGTTATTAATGTGTGCTCCAGACCAATAGTATCAGTATCCACCGGAAACTTATTCTCAGGCCTCACCCCAGACCTACTGAATCAGAAACTCTGGGGGTGCGCCTAGCAATCTGTGTGTTAAGAATCCCTCTGGCTGGTTCTGATACCCGCTGCAGTTTAAGAACTACAGATGTTACACGAGTCGTATGTCCATATTACTGACGTCCAGTAAAAGTAGTTACATTTAACTTTTTACAGAAGCCCTTGTTTGGGATGTGAGCTCACATATTATGTTAAAGCTCGCTACTTATTTTTTTTTTCTTTTTGCTCTTTTTTCTGTCATTAATGGCTGTGGTAGAGCATCTCATTCTGTAAGTATTCTAGAATTTGGTATTTGTGATTGCTAGTTTGGGAATTTCTTTTCAAATAGTTGCTTTGTATTTTGTATTTTTTTTTTTAATGTTTATTTATTTTTGAGAGAGAAAGAGAGAGAACAAGGCAGGGAGAGGCAGAGAGAGAGGAGACACAGAGTCCAAAGCAGGCTTCAGGCTACAACCTGTCAGCACAGAGCCTGACCTGGGGCTTGAACCCACGAATGGTGAGATCATGACCTGAGTTGAAGTTGGATGCTTAACCAACTGAGCCACCCAGGTGCCCCTGTGAGTGTGATTTAAAGGTGACTCTAATATGCCTGTCTTCCAAGTTCTTTGTGGATTATTTCATTCTGCACATCAGGTACCCAGCTTTTGACTATAATGTTATTATAGTAGAATTAAATATTTGTATTTAGGGAAGCCATAATTTTGAAATTTTATCCTGAAAGATCTTTCTGAAAATTGTATGTAGTATCAAGATGCAGTTACTTATAATACATTATTAGAGTCTACATGTGATCGTGTAATGTACTCAGTAAAGGTAATGTAGATTTGGTAACATCTGAAAGTTATTATGATTTAATTATTTTATTTGAGAGAATGAAAATCAGACATTAAGAGTATTTTCTAAAGGAGTTTTGGAGATTGTAATATGCTACTGTTAAAAATTTTGCTTAACCAAAGCCAACAGCCCATAGCTAAAGCATTTTGTCTGTAACTTTAAAACTGAAATGTTGATAGACATTAGCCCCAAAGCTATACACGTACTGTTTAGTAATCCTGCTTCCTTCATGTTCATTTACTAGTGAACCCCAAAACATCCCACTTCCTGTGTACAGGCTCCTGTGTACATGCTATAGGAAGGCAACTAAGAAAAGTTTGAGTATTCAATTTATATCATATTTGGAAAAATAAAAATACTGAGAAGTGTCTTCCTCTTCGCTTTTCGAGTATGTGAAAATAAAACCAGTTTGGGTTATTTTATCAAATATTTATTGATTGCTCAATAAGACACAATCCCAGCTGTTAAATGTATACATAGATTATTAAAAGAGTAGGTACATGTGTGGGCAAGTCATTACAAAGCAGTGTGGTAAGTACAGTAATTGAGGTGTGACAACATACGGATGAGGAGGTGATTGGGTTTGAGATGGTGGTGGGAGATGAGATTGCATGGACCACCTGATTGCTCGGCCAGATGAGATTGCATGGACCAACTGATGGCATCTTAGGTTTCAAGGACAGGTAAGAGTTTTCCTGGTGAATCAGAGGAAAATTTACGTGTGCTGTGGCACAGGGGCAAAATGGAGCAAGGTATGTTCTGAGAGTTACAAATGTATATAAGAGTGTAAGGTTTCAGGAATCAATAAGGCCAGAAAGCTGGATAAGTTCCAGGGCCTTGAGGGCTTTTTAGAGCATGAGAAGAGGTCTGGGTTTAACCTTAGGATGATCCTGTTGGAGCTAAGGGTGCATTTACAGAGCATGACTACCCCTTTGTGCATTTTCTCTAGAAGATACAAATCCGCATCCGTAATTCTAGATAACCACATTTTAGTTTTTTCAACCACAAAAGATTTCAGGAGGAAATGTGGGGGTGAATTATTACTAATAGGTTATCGTCCTTTGAAAAACTTCCCAATATGGATGCTTTTCAGTATGGGTCAGCAGTTCTATCTTTAAATGTACAAAGAATGGCACAATGATGACATATTCTATTTAAAACATTTGTTTTTTCAAAATTTTAAAAAATGTTTGAGAGCAAGACCACGAGCGAGGTAGGAGCAGAAAGAGAGACACAATCTGAAGCAGGCTCCAGGCTCTGCACTGTCAGCACAGAGCCCAGTGCGGGGCTCGAACCCATGAACCACGAGATCATGACTTGAGCCAAAGCTGGACTCTTTTTTTTTTTTTTCCCCAACGTTTATTTATTTTTGGGACAGGGAGAGACAGAGCATGAACGGGGGAGGGGCAGAGAGAGAGGGAGACACAGAATCGGAAACAGGCTCCAGTTTCCATCAGCCCAGAGCCCGACACGGGGCTCGAACTCACGGACCGCGAGATCGTGACCTGGCTGAAGTCGGATGCTTAACCGACTGCGCCACCCAGGCGCCCCGAGCCAAAGCTGGACTCTTAACCACCTGAGCTGCCAGGCGCCCCTCTATTGAAAACATTTGTAATTCACAGTCTGCAGGGAGTAATTTGGGAGATACCAAGAAAACCTGACATGTTTTCTGTCTTCAAAACATGTCTTTCTTCAAGAATCCTGACCCTCTTTGGGGGATTCAGTCATGAATATAGGTAACTAGCAAAGGGAAATCTGCAATGAAAGCCCTAATGCATAACCAAACAGTGGGGGAAGTAGTTGCTTTGAACCAGAGGCGTGAAGCAGGAGAATAGAGGTTGTGGCCCAGAAAGGTTTTGCTGTGTTGGTGGCATATTCAGCCACCATTAGAGTGTTGGCTGGGCGGAGGGAGAATTCCAAAGAATATCAATCAGTACAGTATTCTTGCCCTTAAATTATACACACGTAAGATGAACGCATCGTACAATAGTACAATATACAATACAATTGTACAACAACAAAGTACAAATGTACAATAAAATAGTACATCGTACAATAATACAATATTTTATGTGGCTTAATGGTCTAATGCTACATATGGAATACTGAAACAATGTCAGTACTCTTAATACTGGAAGAGGCTCTTGACAATAAGGAGGAACTCCTTCATCCAGGCTTTCTCAGGGTTTTCTGACCTACTTCAATTCCCCTGATGTTTCGTACCCAATGGCTTCAGCTTTCATCAAAGGACTTTCAGGTTTTTTGGTTTGTTTTTAAACCAGGAAGTATCAATACTTGTGGGATACAGAAGCAGTAGTGTTGTTTGAATTATGTGTGTCAGAGAATGTGAGAAGTGAGAAGGTGTTCTGGAAGGAGGTATTTAGTAATACAAGTTTATCCATATTTTCTCCAAAATTTCAGTGAGTGTTTGCAAAAAGGTGACCTCTAGTGGCCACTTGCTTTCTGTTGCATTTCTCTGACAGATACTTCACTCTGCTTATGAATTGATCTATGTGCAATTAAAATTTATAGAATCCTTTCTGTACACCAGGATAATAAAAAGCATTTGCTCCATCCTTTTTTCCTTGCTTAAACTTTATTTCCAAATTGACTTTTGAAATTTTACCTATTAAATATTAGGTAACCAGAATAAAGTTATCAGCCTAGGGTTATATTGTCTGTCTGGATAGTTCGATTTTCTTGGGTTGATGACGTGATCTTCCTCCCTCTCATACATGGTAGCCTTTCTGTGAATTTTTTACATAAGAATATGTATATTATGGGATCCATGCAAATGTTAGTTGCTGCCAAAAAGAGGGTTGTTTCTTTAGCTATAAACAATTGATTTTGCAGCCTGCAGTCAGTCTTATTGTTAGTTTGACTGTGAGTGTAGGGAACTCTGGCAAAATGAAATGGAGCAAAACACACAAAGAATACAGCCACAACAACAAACACTTTACCTTCCAGCTTTGTGGTGTGTTTGCTGTCCTTACTTCTGGCCTTTCTGTAAGAGTTGTATACTTTTTTTGCAATCACCACATAAAACAGAAGCATTAGGACAAAAACAGTCCAGAAAATGAACTGGGATATGTAGTTCACCACTTGATGCCATTTCAACCCCAGCGGATCCTTTAAGGAGGCACACTTTTTCACAGATGATGGTGTTGCTTCCTTATTGCTCAAGATTATATTCGGCAGAGAGATGAGGAACAAAAAGAGCCAGACGAAGGTCGAGATCATTTTCGCAAAAGCAGGTTTTTGTACAAAATATTTTCCAAAGGGCCTGATGATCTTCAGGAATCTATCAAAGGCTATGAAGCCTAGCAGTGTGATGCCCACATACATGGCCTCGTAAAAGATGACCGCAGAGAAACGACACACAAAGGCCCTGAGTTGCCAGGGTCCGAGGTGTGAATCAGAGAGGATTTTAAATGGAAGCGTGAACGTCATTATCAAGTCGGCCACCAAAGTATTTTTGAGGTAGACAATGAAGGTGGAGGAGCTGGGGATGTGAATGAACACCCACAGGGCCAAGGTGTTCAGCAGGATGCCTGTGAAGAAAACGATGGTGTAGATGACTGGGAACACCAGCTGTGCTATCCGTGTGTCCCTGGGGCACCGCTCAGACCCATTGAAGCCCTTTATCACTGTGGTGTTCATGGTTTCCAGGGTCAGCTGTTACAAAGAAACAAACACACAAAATCAAATAAGTCACGATTTCCAAGTGCTACTTTTAAAAACAGGCTTTAGGTATATAGCCTATTAACACCTTATATTTATTCAGCCCATTCAGTAGATGAGTTGAAAAGGCACATGTTTCTGGCTACAAATTTTTTCAAACGTGTACTACATTTTTGGTACTTGTCAGTACCATTACTTCAACACCCTTTTGAAATCCAAATAAGAGGTTCTACCTCCTTCACAAGTGCTGCTTTGAACATGGCAATGAAGCGAGACCCATTTAAGAAGTAAAAATCCATGTCAGCTTGCTGTACATTATATCATTCCTTATACTCTTAATCTATGGTTTCTAGAATGTTTACCGTAAAGTGTTTTTCCCCCTTGAATATATTCTGTCTTTCATAAGCAAGCCCGCCCATAAGAAAAGTTGAAATTCACCTGTGTTTGGAAGGACACTGCGCTCAGTGTCTTCTGATTGAGGCAGCCATCAGTACAGTCCATGAAGAGCATGTGAAGCAAGTGTTGTTCTGCTTTCTTATGCTGGGTTTCCTTCCTCATTTTCACGTGTGTAATGTAATCAATTAGAACCTCTTCATATTCAAACCTTTGCAAATTATCTAATAGGAAAGCTCTTTTATTTCAAACTTAGGTGATGTTAACCTACTGTGACTTAAATGAATTAGCTTAGAGGCTGTTCTCTTTATATTCTCTCATCTAATAACGTTCTGGCAGTTTATCTTTGCTGTCTACATGGTCAGCGAAATTTTCGAGTACCTCTTGTATATTATAGTAGGTGGCAGAACAATAAATTAGCTCCAGGTTACAACCACACAGAAGAGCAAGAGTTGACTTTAAAATTAGAATCATCATCTGCTCACTTACAGACTGCTTTTCCCAGAAATTTGTGTACAGTTGGCCGGCCTGTTTAATTTTACATGTACCTTAGTTTTTGGTCTTTCTATCTCAGAGAGACAGAGTGATATATTTTCTAAGAGTTCAGGGCTATTAGACCCAGATTTTTTTTTTTTTTTTTTTTTTTTTTTTTTTTTTTTTTTTTTTTTTTGGAGGGGGTGGTTAGAATCACGGATCCAGCAAATACTGAGTACTAGGTAATAGACAAATGATTTCATAGCTCTCTCAGTTTCCTCATCTGTGTAATGGGTTTAATGATAGTATATTACCTCATATGTTATTGAGAAGACAAAACGAATATATAGAATTATGCTGGGTATATAGGAAGCACTAAAAAATGTTCACCCCATACTGCATTGGTGAGTGAAGTGTAGATTTAAATGGAGGTATACTATTTCGCTCATTGGAAATCATCTTTCGAAATCTCTCTGTTTAACGTAGGCGGAGTATGGAAGACTCAGGAATTTTATCAACCTTGGGCAAGGTCTATACAATTTATCCTTTAAATGTCTTCAAGTTTGAAAGGGTGTAATTGCCGCTTTGTTTAGAGACGGTTGTTGTCCATGAACAGAAGTGTGTCCCTGCCAGATAGGTAAGGGGAAAGAGGAAATTAGTGGACCTTATGAGGGGAATGTTGAGTTCTCCATGGTGAGTTTCACTTCATAGTTTCTCCTGCACATTTCACCACAGAGTTGGAGCAGACTGTGGGGTTAGATTGAATGACAATTTGGGGATGACTTGGTTTGGGATTCTAAGAATAAAAATTTCGTGTCCCACTGGACATTTGAAAATATGAGGCAGTAGGATGCTGGATACTTTTGTTGGAACTGCCCAATCATGGCACAATTTACAACATGTAAGTTTGACTCAAATAAATTGTTTCTTGAAGATACAGATTCTGGATTTCATTTATGCGATAGAACATAATTTAAATATACACCTTTATGCTTTTTACTTCAGTAGAGGAAAAATAACCAACTGGTTTTACTTTTTATGTAGAGGGATGTGACCTACATAATGAAGTATACATTTCCTGAAATCTCCAAAATCATTATCTAGATGGAGGTTTGGAATAGTTTCAGTTTAAACAGGGAAATGCTGTACAAAATAATTGCATAATTAGAAAACTGGAAATCACACTTTGGCCAACTTTCAAAATGTCGAAGTGTGGGAAACTCTGAAAAGGGGAACTGACTTAACGCTGCCCATTTCTAGAGTTCTGGAAGTGTATTCTTTTAAATGTGGCAAGTTTCAAGATGTTTCACCATACTAAATATCCCAACAGATCACACATTCCTATATGCCCATGTGTTTAGTATGAAGTCGTTGACTTTTCCTTGATTTACCCTAGTGCTGGTGCCCAGCGGGGAGGGGTGTGTCTTTGGTCCTTGATGGCCTGACTGAGAGGAGCACTCTCTCAGGAACCAGAGTGCCTGGTTTCAATTTCTTATAGCTCTACTTTTCTTGTGACTTTGGGCATGATATTTTATGTTCTCTATGAAACCGTTGTCTCCTCTTTACAATGAAAATAAATAATAGTGTTTGCTTTGTTGGAATGTTAAGGAAATGAAATGAGTGAAGTTCCACCAAGTGTATAGAATAATGTATGTTAGGTTGTAGGTGTTCTTGTATTTCTTATTAAATGAAGCTAAAAGTAGAATACCAATGGTGATAGATCAGAAAAGACAGGTGGGAAGAATCAAAGATGAAATGAAAGGTTCCATAAATCAGAAGCTTGCCAAAATGGGAATAAATTGAATTTAAAATCTTATCAGACTTGCTGAGGAGATAGTCAAAACCAATAAAATAAGTATAGCTAGTGATTATACTGCTCAAAGTGATAATGTGATCTTATTTAATTCTTAGAAAAATCCTCAGAGATTGATCCCATTTTGCAGATAAGAAAATTGAGGCACAGCAGTTAAGCAGTTAAGCAGTTTGGCAAAAATCAACCCAAGCCCACTTCAAACCCACATAGTCTGGTTCAGAGGCCATACTCAGAACCTGCCTCATGCTCCCAACTGTCAGCAATCATGGATAGGGTGAACTAGAATTGTTTACTAGATTGTAGAGTTTTTCAGCTGGGTATTACTGATTGATGAGTGAGGAATAACAATCAACTTTAAAGTTTAATGGATTTGTGAAACTTTTTTCCTTACTGTGAGGTATCTGGCTGAAAACATAAATTGGTTCCAAGTAGTATGATCAGCAAAAGAATTAAAGAAGATATAATTAGAAGCCTGCCAAATGGCACTAAACTATTTTTTCCATCTGTAGTCTCTTTTGGGATTCTCTTTTGGATCAGAATTAATAGTCTAAAGGTTTCTGTTGATGTGGCTAAGCAGTACCATATAAAATCTGAAAAGATGAGGAAGCATTTATTTTCATTTGGAATGAAAGTCAAAGTGGGAACTATTACAAGAGCCTGTACTTTCCATCAGACATAGCATGGTATGTTTTCAGATGATAGAAAATTGTTTAAAAAATTCCCCACTGGATGAACTGAAAGCGGAAATAATAAGTTAAAATAAGTTGTGCAGTTTAACATTAAATGTAAAAGTGTCTATAAGTAGAGCCAGTATAGAACACCTCTACAGATAACTGGAAACAGGCGATAAGTTCATAGTATTACCTGAAACATGTTCATATCAGTTTCATATTTTTATTATAATATGAAACAATACAAGTTTGAGGAGTTCAAATATAGTCATGTGCATAGTCGAAAGTGAGAATTATCCCCCTTGCATGAACATACCATCGTGTGTGGAAGCATATATTTATATTTATTGATATATCAGATCTTTGTTTCCTTTCATGATAGTACATGAAGATTTGCCTATTTTTTTTTTTTTTTTAATGTTTATTTTGAGAGAGGGCGCGTACCTCTGCTTGCATGAGCTGGGGAGGGGCAGAGAGAGAAAGAGAGAGAAAAGGACAGCTAAAATCTCAAGCAGGCTCCGTGCTGTCAGCAGGGGGCCTGAAGGTGGGGCTAGATCCTAAGACCCTGGGATCAGGAACTGAGCTGAAATCAAGAGTGAGATGCTTAACTGACTGAGCCACTCAGGTGCCCCAATTTACCTATTTTTTTTAAGTTTGTTTATTTTGGGAGAGAAGGAGACAGGCAGAGAGAGGGAGTCCCAAGCAAACTCCCTGTTGTCTGTGGGAGCCTGAAGCGGGGCACGAACTCATGAACCATGAGATGACGACCTGAGAAATCAAGAGTTGGATGCTTAACCAACTAAGCTACCCAGGCACCCCTAACTAATAAAAAATAAATAAAAAATTATACTATGTAAAGTTACCATAGTTTAGTTAAGGAATTTACTGATTGGCTTTTTTTTTTTTCTCAAAAAGTGTCTCTTAGGCACAGTACTGTAGGACACACATATATCTGTATATTTTCGTTCAATTCCAACATATTAGTAGTAAGTTTCCTAGCGGTGGGATTGCTGGACCAAAGCTCTGCATCAAAATGTTGAATGATATTTTCAAATAGCTTTCCAGGAGAATTATACCAATTTACAGTCTCAAGTGGGATTCTTCCAATACTGTTAGAAAAATCTTTTAAATCAAATCTAAACTTAAAGATGAAAAAAAATCCATGTAATTTAAATGTAAATTTATTTGCTTGTTAGTGAGGGTACAGATTTTTTCATATTTTTAGTGTCTATTTGTATTTCTCCTGGAAATTAATTTTTTATATTCTTTTCCCGTTTAAAAAGTCAGGCTGTTTCTATTTATTGACTCGTAAGTGTATTTCTACATATTTAATTCCAACTGGCATCAGTGTATTCTCATTTTGGGCATTACCAATCAATAGTGATCACAGATCAGGCACTGGAATCTGTAGTTGTTTTCTGAAATAACTAGATGCATGGATAGAGGGTTCTTTTTCTGTGTATTTTCTCCCTGTTTTCAGAGTTCTAGTCCAGGGATTGTCAATTTTCATTTCTCCCTTTCTTATAGAATTTTTTTTTCAGTGTTCACCTGTGAGAAAGAGTATGCGAGTGTCCTTGTAAATGGGGGAGGAATAGAGAGAGAGGAGGACAAAGGAACCGTTCCAAGGGGGCTCTGGGCTCTGCACTGATAGTAGAGAGCAATCAATCTTTTCTAAAGAGCCACGTAGTAAATATTTAGGTTTTACAGCCATGCAGTCTTCATCACAATTATTCAACCCTGTCGTTGCAGCAGGAAAGCAACCTTGGATAAAACCTGAGGGGGTTTGAGTGTGTTCTAATAAACCTTACTAGGGACACTGAAACTTGAATTTCATAGAACTTTAATACAATATGAAATTTTATTCTTCCTTTTTTCTTCCTGTTGATATTTGAAAATGTGAAAACCGTTCTTAGGTCTCAGGTGGTGGGTTTGGCTTGCAGACTAAAGTTTGCCACACCTGCTTTAGACTGTTTCTGTAAAACCCACTGCCAGAAACTGCCACTAACCGGCAGCCTTAGGACTTGTTAGCTACTAAGGCTATGGGCAAGACTACATTTTGTTGGTTTCATCTTCTGAACTTTGCAACTTCTGGACCCGAGAGTACAAAACTTGGCTTTCCTTTTTTTTCTTAATATAAAATCTGGGATTTATTATGTATATTAAAATTCCTAGTGACATGTAAAAATAGTGACATGTCCTGTGTATCA